GGGGCGCCGCTGCGTGTCCCCGGGCGGCTCGTCAGGGGTTTTGTCCCGGGGCTCGCCGCCCCCCCGGTAACGGGCCTTTCCTTGGTGATCCCGGAGCGCCGCGGTTCCGAGGAGCATCCCGCTGCCCCCTCCGGGGATGGGACGGTTCGTTATCCCCAGGGAAAGGACTTCTGCCCCGGGCTGAGCTCGGGGACTGTCCCTGATCACCCCCCGGCCAAGCTACTCCATAGGCTGAATTAGTAAATATGTGGGGAAATTTGGGGTTGAATCAAGTAAACTGCCCAGAAAATACATGAGGGATGCGTTACATAGAGTTGCAAAGAACTAATTCAGAGGCATTAATTAACATCAGTAATTGTGAAAGCGGGAGGTGCAGCCCCAACTAACTTCTGCACAGTCATTTTTGATGTGAGGGATCTTTAGCTGCTGCTTACCGGGAAGGTGACAGCTAATGGGACTTCCCAGATGCCATCTCCTCCTGACACCAGCCCCCTGCCAGGGTGGGAAATTACTGACAGACCTAACGCTTGGGAGGGGAAAGGTTTAACCCCTCAGCGGGTGCGGCCCTAGGGTGGGCAGAGAGCAAGGCTTGTGCCCGGAGCAATCCCTGGGAGATGCACAGCCCAGAGCGGAGGCTGGAGGTCCCAGCTCCTGCTTGCCCCACCTTTGCTCCCCAAATACAGCTCACCGGGTGCAGCCGGTCTGGCCATGAGCCCACCCTGATCCCCACCAGCTCTCCATGAGAGCTCCATCAGCCATCATCATCACCGTCATCAACCACCACTCAGCTAGACTTGATGTGTAATTACAGATTTAGATACAGCTTCATTAGCGCTACCTGTTAGATATAAACAGACACCACCAGAGCAGGTCTTCTAACAGGACGAGCTATTCTCATGTATTTTCACCACTGACTTCTGCTTACTCTGAGCTCTCCCAAACCATCCCAGCAGCATCAGCTTTTAGCCCAAAAAACAGGTCGCTGGTCATGAAACAGGCATCAAACCCCACCATGATTTGTGATTATCCCATTGTTTTGGTGAGATGCGCTTCCCTCCCTTCCCTGGGTGCTGCTGCCCTGCCCTGGGACTCATGAAAAGCAGATTTATTTGGGTTTGGCCTCAGTGCTGCTGTGCCACCTCGCCCACCCTCCTTCTGGGAGCCTCTCTGCACAACATCTCAGAATTAATAGGATTTCCCTAAATGCCAGCAAAACCTGTTACAGGATTTACAAATTAAGGTTTTTTTGTAGAACCAAAATACAAAATAATGAGCAACCCCACTTGCCTGAGCAGAGCTGGGGAGGGGAGATCCCTCCAGTCCCGGGTGGCTCTGGCTCCTCGGGTGTGGATGCCGTGTGGTCCACCTCATTAGCAATAAACTCACAATTTGAGAAAAGTTCAGCTCTGGCAGGAAAATCGTTTTGGAGAAAGAGGAGTTTATTCCTGCCCCTTTGTTCTGCTCTTGCAAATTTACACGTGGAAATGTTGCCAGGTGCGGCCCAGCAAAGGGCAGAGCTGCTGCGACACCAGCCTCTTCCATGGGATCTCGCCAGTGCTCCTGGCTAGTGAGGGGGTTATGTACCAAAAACCCTGAGCTCTCCTCAGCCGGGTAAGCTCGTGGTTCTGCTTCGAGGGAATTTTGTGTAATTTGGGATTGGTCAGCCTGGTTTTGTGGCTCTCCTGGGAGAAAACAGCCTCAGCTGGGGAACTGGCCATAGACCCTGCTGTCAGGGGGGTCATATAGGCTATGGGTGGTTACTGCAGGCTGCTGGTTTTCAACAGATAATTCACATTGATTTGCATAGGCGGCAGCCCTGCGCTGACAGGAAGGAAGATCGAGCAAGACCCACTGCACAGGAAGGGGCGAGGAGCAAACTGAAAGAGAGAAAAAGGCACCAGGGCTGGAACTGGCGGTGGCAGGCGGCTGGGGAAGCCAAACCCCCCTTCCCCAGGTGCTGCCCTGAGCATCGCCCCAGCTGCCAGGTCCCATTGCCTCTGCAGGACCCCCAGAGTCAGGGGCTGCCAACTGGAGGGGCTTTCATTTTCTACCTTGAACTTGAGCATCTAAGTGAGGAGGAAGTGAAGCTGTGGAGATAAAGGGCTGAGCGGGGACACGGAGGGGCTGCATCCTCCCACCATGATGAAGATGCCCTCTCTGCTCTCCTGCTCCCACGCAGACCTGGAGAAGGTGCCACGAGGCCAAGGTAAGGTTCTGGTGGGGCTGTTTTTTCTTTGGAGGGATACAGGGAGAAAGGGAGGCATCACTCAGCCCCCCAAAACAGGGATGAGCTGCTGCAGACCTTTGGCAACGGCCACATGAAATGGAGTGGCTGGGCCAACACGTGGTAGGGCCAGGAGCTGTTGGGTGGAGGTCCCTGGGGTGGGGACGATGTGACCGACTGCCAGCAGCACCCGGCAGAGCAGCCTGGCACGGTGCTGCCTGAGAGGGTGGGGTGGTGCATGGTGCTGAGCCCTGAGTGATGGAGACAAGCACGGGACCTCGTGGGGGACCTGGGACTTGTCACAGATCCTGTCCCCTTGCCTGCTACTGCTTGCCCAGATTATGAAGGCAGACACAGCCAGGCTGCCCTGCCTGCACAAAGCCTTGTGCAGCTTCAGTTTTTGCCCCCATGTTAATGTCATTTACTGAATTAATTCCACTTCAAAACCATCCAAAAAATTTTTCCAGTAAGTACCACAAATAAAAAAGGATGAGATCAGCAACATACTCGCCTGTGGCACGGTGCAAAATTGCACCAAAGAGCAAGGCAGGGCCCTGGGTCTGTCAGCAGTCCAAGACTTGAAACTCAGAGCTGCACTCCCATGTCCCCCTTCATGAAACAGGCTCAACATGCCTTCCTGGGGCTCATCCAGAGGGAACAGCAGCACCGAGGTCTACAGAGCTGCAGCTGGTACCTTCTTTGGCCCTTTTAAGTCCCAGCGCTGTGTGGGACCCAGAGGCGCAGGGAGCAGTCGGGGCGAGGGAGCTCAGCGGGGACATGTGGCCCTGCCTGCGTGGGCAGGGAGCCTGACACGCTGGACTGCCTCAGTGCGTTAGGCTTAATCCTGCTGTTGTTTAAGCACTCTGAGGTCATCAGGGACACTATATATCCTATAGGTGTGGGACTGCTGGGGAGAGGAGCAGCTGGAGCACCGGCTCGGTGCTGTCACCAACATCCAGGCTGCCGCATGGAAGGGCTACCGCAGGCCAGACATTTGGGGCAGCCTGGGCAGAGCTCGGCCAAAGGATGCCCAATGTTGCATGAAAGTTTCTTTTTGGAGAATTCATGGCGTCTTTTAGGGTGGGTACAGCTCAGCATCCCTAAGCTCTGCATCCCCTCTGAGGCCAGCGGATGGGGCTGGTGTTGGGGATGGAGGCAGGCTGGCAGCATCTCGTTCCCAATTTTCATGCTGATGTCCTGAGACCCCATAGGAAAGAAGGGCAGAAGATGTTTGTGGGGAGAGGGTCTGCTTTTCAATCAGCTGTGTGTGTGTCCATGGTGAAGTTGTCCTGGGGGCATGATCAGCTCAGTAAATGCATCATTCTTCATTTTGCAGCTTAGGAGGTGTAGCAGTACCCTGTGAGAGACCAACCCTCTGAAATTAGCTTTAGTTTTAGCTGTTTGAAATTACTCACAGCTTGATTATTGCTTTTTTTTTTTTTTTTTTCTGATGAGATTTGGTGTTGGGACAGCTGGCATTCAGCCCAGGGGTCTTCCATGACTCTGCCTCCACAACTCACTATTTTAACTCCCACTGTGTCTGGGCCCTGTTATTCTGGTTGGGATTTTTTTGGGGAAAAAAAGAAAAAACAAGAAAAAAAAGGCCCGGTAGGGCTTAGATTTGAAATAGTCACTGTGTAATTGCAATAAATTATGCTAGCATGAAATTCAGAAAAAAAAAAAAAAAAGGACTGCATCTGCAAGTCATGTGTTAACTGAGATAACTGAGTTACCTGCAAATCTGTGAGCTTCATAACTGGGTATCATGGAGAAGATACTTCATTGCTTTCCTTAATTAACAGTTAATAACGTGAAATCTTTTCCGTTCTGCCATAAGGTGGCAGCCTGCATCCTGGCTTCAGGATTTGCTCAACTGAAGGGGAATGGCTGGAGATGTTGGCTTGACAAGTATTTGTGTGCATCTCACTGACCTCCGAAATAGTATCAGTTCAGGGTGGATATATGGCAGGAGAAGTAAATAAAAGCTCCGAGGGTGTGTTGGTAAAGGAGCTTGATATTCGCTGGAGGAAACCCAGCGCGCCAGGAAGTGGTGGGAAGGTCTCGCAGGGCTGGTTTCTCTCCGTTCCCATGCCTGGGGGAGGGAGGGCAGCCGTGAGATGGGTGCTGGGCTGCTGGGGTTCGAGCGGCACCAAGACATGTCACGCCAAACTGGAGACCTTTGGGGAACTGGCTGCAGGGGCAAAGCCCACAGCGATGGGACGGGGAGAAGGCAACGGCCAGGCTGAGGGTTTCTGAACGTCTGGGCACACGGAGCCGCGCTGGGGTACGCATTTCCTCTGCTCCTTCAAGTGTCTGGTTAACAACGCATTTATTAGTTCATAGAAAAAGCTTTAAACATACCTAGATACTGCAGATCAGCCCCCTTTGCAATGTTTTCCCTATGTGGGTCCCTGCAGCTGTCCACGAGCTCTTGCCCAGCACTTTGGTGCCCACCTAGAGTAGGCACCCTCAGCCCTGCCCCCAGCCCAGCCGGGTCCCCAGGGCTCTGCTGGCTGGAGAGCCCCTGCCCAAGGTGCCAACCAGCGTCCCCCGATGCTGCCCGTGGATCTGCCCACGAGCCCCGGTGTGGCGACAACCACAGGTTTCCGGCTGCTGAGTGTTGCAGCCCAACGTGTCTGTGATGCTGCCGGCAGCAGCTGCGATGGCTCCTGGCACGTCCCGAGTCCTCAGCAGATTCCCAAAGCACAGGGTGATGGATCGGTCTGGGCGGGTTGACTGCCATATGTAAACCAAAGCCACCTCCCGGCAGGAGGAAGATCTGAGAAGCCAGTTAGAGCAGAGAGACAGTAAATACCTGTTCTCTCCAGCCACCTTTGTGCTGTGGTCATCCCAGGACTGCCGCTTCATCTCAGATCCCCTGGCAAGCTGCTTTTGGTCTGTGTTGAACTTCCAGGAGCAAAAGCACATCAAGCCAGAGATGAGCAGAAGCAGCTATGTCTGGGACTGTGTTTTCCAGTGTTGATGTCAGGCAGTTTGACCCTTGGAACAGGACAGACATGGTGAAAAATGCAGCAGCTGTTTGGTAGCGGGTAGTCTGTGCGCATGGTCAGGGACCTTCCAGCACAGTGGTTGTGGCTCCCAGGCACTGGTGAGTTTTGGGCACAGACATTCTGCTAACAGGCGTGGTGGGATGTGGGGATGGTGGGACGTGGGGACCATGGGATGTTGGATTGAAGCTGCTAGAAAGACACATCAGTGTTGACTGGTCATCCTCAGATGGAAGGACTTTCCCCTGCGCTGGGCTCTTGGATGCCACCACACAGAAAAAGCATTAATGCCAAGTTCTTGCCAACAAAATCCCCCATTTCCCTCCCTGGGGCTGGCAGACATCATCCATCAGTTTGGCTGAGCAGCCTCCCACCCTCCAGCTTCTTATTCCGGTGCCCCCGGGGATGCGGGCAGCAAGGCAGGGCAGACGCAAACCCTCACTGGAACACTGCTTCTGCAGCCACTGGTGGGGCAGGGACGAGCACTTGGCCCTGCTTGATCCTGGCTGAACGATAGCTGCAAACCCGGGGCTGAGCTCCATGCACACAGGATGGACGTGGAATTGTCTTTCCAGTCTCAGGCACGGGGGAGTGCAGCACTTCCAGAAGGCGACTCATCCCAGCAGCCCTGGGGTGGGCTGGGTCACACGCTGGAAACACCTCGGATCTCTGTAGGGGTTGTAGATTGGCTTTGGCTGCCTCCATCTTTCCAACAGCTCGTGTGAGGGTAGATAACGACCCTCTTAGGATGCAGCCTCCAGCATCACTGCCGTGGTCCTAGAGCTGCACCAGAAACTTTTCTGCTGGAAGCAGAAAAAAACTGCAGCCACTGCATTATTTCTTTTGTATGTCTTCTGCTGCTTTATTCTCCCAGTCAGATGCCTTTGCATGAGATGACCCATGGCTGCTGGTTTCCAGCAGCAGGATCACATTTCGTAGTAGTACTGGAGGACACCATCAAATAATCTGCTGTTAGAGCGGGCTTCCCCGCATCAAAGGGCTTTTTCTTGCCGGCCGCCTTTCAGAGGATGGGCTGTAGGGAACATTGCTGCAAGCAGCAAAACCCCCTTTCATTTTGGCTGTGTTCTTGGTTGCGCAACAAAGATGAGAGACCTGGGGACTGCTGCGTGCAAAGACTTAATTGAACTTTCCAGGCCAGTTAGAGACAAGAAGACATCAAAGGGTGAAAATTTCACTGTGAATTGCTCACCGAACTCCTTAATTGATGATATCTTAATTGACCAGGCCACTGCCTGGGGGGCGAAGAGCAAGGCGAGCTCCTGCCGCAGCCCTGCTACTCCTCATATGGAGAGAACGTCTTTGCTGTGAGGCCACCATCACTGCCAGGGGCAGCGTGGACCTCTGCCACCTCTGAAACCAGGGGGTCAGAGCTGGGCAGCCGGGGGAGAGCAGGACTCAGGTTTCCCTCCTGGAGGGAAAAGTTGTGGGTTCAGATCCAGCTACAGCAGCACCCTCCACCCCTACGAGGGCTCGTCCAAGCCACATATGAAACCATCTGGGCAGGTGGGGATGGGCTGGTGTGTTGTCACCCAGCGCCTCTGGGACACTTGCCCCACTCCGTTAGGACGGGGTCTCGATGAGAAGTCCAGCCAGTGGGGTCTGTGAGGGGCTCGGCTCTGGAGATGCTGTGCCTGGTCCTCCTCCTGCAGCCCAGCCCTGATCCGCACGGCTGGGCTGCTGCTGGTGGGAGAAACAAACCTCAGCATGGGTCTCCCGGCAGGAGGGTGAACAGAAGAGTCCGCAAAGGAGAAGTTCGGAGCACCTTAACCTTGCGCTAAGGACTAATCACGGACCAGACACTCTACCAAGTTTCCTTGGTCAAGCTACATTTGTGTTTCCTCCCTGGAACAGGTTGGGTTTGGCCAAAGAAAGTGAGTGTTACCTGTACCTGTCGGGGAGGCTGCACTGAAGCCCCCACGGTGCCCACATCCTACTCAGGCGTGGGTTTGGGCACAGGCAATGCTGCGTGTGGGCAGGGAGCAGCTTGCAGTGCCTCTGACTGGCACGGGGACAGTGTTTGCATCACTGCCATGGTCAGACATCACCTGGGGCTGAGAAGTTCCCACCTGGACACAGCCAGCTCCTGGAGAAGACTTAGGGGCTGGTGGAGAGGCCACAGTGCAGTGCTATCTGCTAAGAGAGGTGAAGCTGGGAGAACGCTCGGGTCTGGAGGCATTTTCCTCTCCACCTCTGCTCAAAACCCAACTGGACTTAGTGAATGGATGCACTTAAAAATAAACCACCAAACCCTCAGTGTGGTTTGGCAGCAGGTGAGGGGGAGGGAGCAGGTCGATGCTCCTTCTCCAGGCACTGAATCACAAGTGGAGCATCTACAGAGCTCTGCAACAGGATGTGGTGTTGGCCATGCTCAGCGAGCCTTGACAGAGGCTCTGGGCAGCGGTGAAGTGGGTTTAAAACCGAAACGAGCCCTTCATTGCTCTGCCTGCTGCCCCACAACTTCCTTCACAAAACAGAGAAGGAAAGCACATGAGCAGTTCACAGCCCCGCTGTCCCTCTGGTGACTGGTGGCACTGGGGTGCTCACTGGGTGATCCATGGATGGCACGGGGGCATCGTCAGGCAAGTAATGCAATCACCCTGCCCGAGAAAGGCTCCAGCATAAGCAGTGGTGGTGAAGGCACCAAGTTTGTGGCACATGAGGTCTGGGCAAAGATGCTGCAACATGATGGTCCTGGCTCTGCCCCTGCCAGGTCCACAGGACTCTGGTCTTAGCCAAAAGCGGACAAATGGACCCTTGGCTCAACCACAGCCAGCACCATGTTAGCATGGGCTCCCTCCCATGCTACTCCTGATGCTTTTCCTCTTCTTCCACCAGGAGCATGGATAAAGGCTGAGGAGCCTCAACTGGTTCTGTGAGC